AAACAAAACGAACCCTAACATTTTTCCACAAGATAGACACAAACCAAGATAGGCACGAACCATAAGATGGGCTTGTTGGTACAAAACAAAAAAAAAATATCATTTTCGTTGCTCTTTGATTGGACCCAATGATAGATCTTCATTGCAACCTTAAGGCCCACTTCATCAAAAAATTATGGGTAAATTATCAATAAGTTGTTACAGTTGAATTTAATCATTATCAAGTCTTATTAAAAATAAGTTTTATTAAAATTGTCATTAAAAATAATTTTTTGTAATAATTTTGTTTACATATTTTGCTAAAAATTAACAATTAATAATTTTTTTATCACGATTTTTATAAATTGTCGTTAAAACTTTCAATTAGTGACGTTTTCTGTGATGAATTTTTTAAACTGTCGCTAAAATTTAAAAATTAGTGACATTTTTTTTTAAAACTGTCGCTAAAACTTATAACTTGTGAAATTTTTGTGATAATTTTTAAACTGTTGCTAAAAATTAACAATCAGTAACTTTTTTTAATAATGTTTGATGAAAATGCCATTATTAGACAATAAATTTATCTATTAAAACCTACATGTAAGTCCTCTAAAAATTATTGATTGATCCAGGAGCGCGGTCATGTTCCTCATCAATCACAATTCATCATGTTTCCTCATATTTTGTCATGTTCCTCATCAATCACAATTCATCATGTTTCCTCATATTTTCTGATCTCTCAATATAAATACGTAAGTCTCACCATTTCTACCAATTACAACACTATTGGAACATCATAATTTAATAATATATGACTTCTCCACTTCACCTTTCATTGGCGGAGTTTGCCCGTGTACTCTCTTTTGGTAAAACATGTTAGCGAAAGACGTAATTTAGTAATTTAAATTTAAAATATCATTAAACTTAGGGACATTAATTTATAAATTCTTTTTCACTTATTTTATATTTTACTTAGTATACATTATTTTCTAATGTTTTAATAAATCTTAGGAGTAACATATTTACTAAAATATCCCTAATAATAATAGGGTAAAATGTGCATTAATATTCACATTGATAGTGTGAATATTCCATGATGTAAATATTCACACTATCGATGTGAACATTCACATTGTCAATATGAACATTAACATATTGTCAAATTTATTTAATGTGAATATTTGCGTCACCAAGTTGCTAAGGGTTCAAAAAAAAATTGTAAGGGTAAAATTTGTCCATAAAATATCTTAAATATGATAATTAGGATTTAATAGATCAAATGTCTAAAATAATAAGACTTGGAATTCAAGAATATCTTAAAAACTAATTAAGATACAAGTAATTAAAAGAAGACTTTCTAATGTCTTTCATTTTAAATTACTAATTTCAAAACTACATTATTGTTTTGTTTCTACTTTAAATTTAGGCTTTTGAATTACCGCAACAAGAAAGAATTATAAAAGATCCTAATAGAAGATCCTAATCCTTGTTTGGCTAGTCACTTCATTGATAAGTACAATGAATGTCTTAAATCTCCATACTATACCCTCAGCAACACCTTGATCGCATACCACGATTTCCTATACAAATATTAAAAATTATCAAAAATAAAGGGATCAAGATTTCCTTTATAAATACAATAGAGGTTTCTATTTCATAATTAATGACTCAGAAAATCAAATCTCCCAAACTTAAATTAAAAAACAGTTAAGAATTTTTGAAATTCATAGACTGTGATGTGTTGCAACCTCATCAAATGAAATGGAGACTTGTATTTTATGTATAAAATAGAGAGGATTAAAATAGAAATAAATATAGAATCCTCAATGATAAAAGTAACAATAAAAGATTTATGTCTTGTTTGGGATTGGCTTTTTTAATAATTTTTTGATTTCTTAAATTTTTTAGAAAGCTAAAAAAGCTAATAATGTGTTTGGAAAATTACAATGATCAATTACTTTTATGTAAGTGAAAAAGTTGATACAATATTAAATTTTTTCAACTGATGATAAAGATGTTTTTTGAATTTTTTAAAAAATATTCCTAAACGAGGCCTTAAACAGCTAAGGAGCAACATTGAAAGAGTAGGGTATTTTTTGGAGGTGGATTTCCACCTGTCCATAATTTGAATTGGAGGGTTCTATTTGAGCTCGTATCTTGTTTTGATGATCCAAATCGTTTATTTTGTCGGGCACTGCATACATTTCATTCACACAAAAAATTAAGTCAATCCGATAATCGTAATCTATTCAATTTATCGTATTTGTCATAAAAAAAAGTAGACAATAATTGTATTTTTAAAAATAAACCCGTTATTTATTTGTGACAAACACGGTAAATCAAATATATTACGATTATAGAATCGATCTAATTTTTTGTGTTGATAAAATAATAAAATGTCCGATAAAATAAACGGTTTGAATTATGAAATAGGACTCATGGTGAGTTTCACAAGTCCAAACAACACCGTCCAATTCAGATTATAGACTGAAGGGAGTAACTTTTTTTTTTCCGCCCTCAAGAATTTAAGAAGTGAAACCACATTTCCCTTTGATGTTATCTTTATGATATTGACCTTTTTAATTTGATATATGAATATGATAGACGGCAATAATGGGGTTCGAAAAAATAAATCACATTGGACAAATAGGTCTTTGTCAATGAAGTGTAAGAGATCACAAAGCATGTGCATGTGAAAATTTGTCTGTCATCTTGATCAAATTCCCTAACAAGGGCATGAAAATTTGATGTTTTTGAGAGTGGCTATATCTAACCAGCATAAATACAGATAAATGACATGGATATGCAATGATATGAATATACAGATAAGATAATTTTCAAAAAATTATAAGATACGATGCGTTAAATTTTTTTAAACTTTAATATATGTCAAATATATGAAAGTTTATTAAAAGATAATAAAAAAATATATAACACTAATTAAAATTTAAAAGTTACATAATTCAAAATTTACACATCAATATATTATTCATGTGAAAATTGAATTATAAATAATGCAAAACAATTATTAATATTAAACATTGAATATATATGATATGTTCTTCTTATGAATATTTCAAAATGTAGAGTGTGCATAAGTTGCATTTCAAAAAATATAAAATATTATTATTAAAAAAAAATTCACCACAAAAATCGTATTTAGTGAGTTCAGAAAATGTCATGAAAGTATTCAAAAAGTATCTATAAAGCATTCTTTATTTATTAAAACAGGTTAAAAAAGTTTTAGATATATTTTAAAGATTATTTCTAGAGTTCTGTGTCTCACACGAGACACCTCCATTAAAGTGTTAGTGTTCTAAATTTGTATAATTTTATTTTGAAAAAGTTTCGATTCATTGTAAATTTATTTATATATCTTATTTTATAGATTTATTGCTCAATAAGTTTATAATTTTTTTAATATTTCATCAAGGCTTATATAATTAGACTTATATTTTAATAGGTCATTTTTTTTTTCATATTAGATTGAAAAATTTAGAAATCCCCTAGATATTGATTTGTGATTATGTATCAATTTTAACCAATAAATAACAATCACAATCAAACAATTAAAGACAAATCAACACAACGATTTTAAGTGAAAAAATCACAATTGGAGCACCTCCAATTGTGATAAAAAATCACTGGCAAAAGCCACAAAACAATCCACTGAAAAGATATAAAAGAATTACACAGATATACTCTCAATTACCTAGCGAATCTACGCCCAATTGACCCAACCCCTATGTGCCTCTTCCAGCCCTGTCTTCACCTCGGAATTGTCTTGCCCAACGTTGAATCCACAATGTCGATGTCGAATCACGACGATGAACCACTCCAGAATCTACCAAAATTTCAAACTCGAATTCTCCAGAATCAACTGAAAAACAACTCTCTCTTTTGTATAGAATAAACAAACAATGAGTTGAATACTCAATCAAATATCAAAGAAAATTAGCAAAATAGCCCCAGATATAAACCCTAATATCTAAGAAGAAGATCTGGAAACATAACTCTAAAATCTGACTGAAACACATATTTATAGCAATCTGTTCTGCGATCTCTGCTAGAGCGCTGGAATGGCCGCTCGAGCAAACCGACACTCAAGCATAGGAAATTCCGCTCGAGTGGGAAAAAACATCTCTTAGTATTTTTGCAGGCGATGAAATTTCTGGAGCCAAGGATTCTCCACTCGAGCGGGGGAATGTCCACTCAAGCGGACAAGCAACTTCAAATGTATTTTTGCATTTTGCTTCAGGAGCGCTGCCCTTCAACCCCGCCGTGGCGCTGCCCTCTGGACCCCGGCGAGCTGACCGGGCAGCTCAATCCTTATCATAGTCAGCGAAATGGCAATCATAAAAGAATTAGCACCACAAATTTCTCTGCAAGATACAATTCGGGTTGGATTCGCATTTAAAAACTCATAGCCTCACTGAAATAAAAAGAGTGAATACAAGTATAACTGAAAGGAATTTTGTCAAACGGGATTGCCAAGAATAAAACCTAACAATCTTTCCTTTTGGCAATGGCGTGACACCTAACAAATAAAATCCTAATCACTCAAACCTATTACAGCCAACAAAAGTAAACTTGTTTCTCAAAGTCAAGATCTGCAAACAACTATCAATGCTACAATCTCCCAAACAACTATTAGTGCCACAAAAGTATATGAAAAAGCAATAGACATATGACAAGATTATCTTGAAGCATGAGATGGAAAACATAAATAGATGGGACTTGAAAATTTAAGAACATATAGCATGAATAGATGAAAACTAAGACAGATGTACCCGACCGACCCATGGCATGAATACATGAAATCCTAAGACACATGCATTTCTTTCCCTTTTTGTCACGAATTGACAAAGAAAGCTCAAACAATGAAAGCAAGATTAAAAACCACACAAGCAAGGACAAGATGATGGAAAAATTAATAACCTGCAAGAAGTAAGCAATAAACAAGCAGTGAATAGCAACACACAAACCAACTAATGCCAAACTCCCTTACCCAACTGAGAGGGTAATTTATGATCTGGAGTTGGGCTGAGGTGACGGCCGAGCAGGTTGAGGGCCCAACGGTGTATGGGGCCGAGCTGATCAACTATCCGCCCGGAAATGGGCTACCAGAACTTGGGCCGGGCAGAGTTTGGACTGCTAAAATTGACTAAAACACATATTTATAGCAATATGTTCTGCGATCTCTGCTGAGCGCTGGAATGGCCGCTCGAGCAAACCGACACTCGAGCATAGGAAATTTCGCCGAGGAAAAAAACATCTTTTAGTATTTTGCAGGCGATGAAATTTTGGAGCCAAGGATTCTCACTCGAGCGGGGAATGTCCACTCGAGCGCACAAGCAACTTCAAATGTATTTTTGCATTTTGCTTCGAGGGCACTGCCCTCAACCCCGCCGTAGCCTGCCCTCTGGACCCCGGTGAGCTGACCAGACAGCTTAATCCTTATCATAGTCAGCGAATGGCAATATAAAAAGAATTAGCACCACAAATTCTCTGCAAGGACAATTCGGGTTGAATTCGCATTTAAAAACTCATAGCCTCACTGAAATAAAAAGAGTGAATACAAGTATAACTGAAAGGAATTTTGTCAAACGGGATTACCAAGAATAAAACCTAACAATCTCCCCTTTGGCGATGGCGTGACACCTAACAAATAAAATCCTAAACACTCAAACCTATTAAGCCAACAAAAGAAACTTGTTTCTCAAGGTCAAGATCTGCAAAAAACTATCAATGCCACAATCACCAAACAACTATTAGTGCCACAAAAGTATATGAAAAGCAATTAGACATATGACAAGATTATCTTGAAGCATGAGATGGAAAACATGAATAGATGCGACTTGAAAATTTTAAGAACAATAGTTTGTAAGATATCCCAAGTCTCTTTTGTGACTTCAAAATTGCAAATACGACTAAACTCTTCAGGTGTGACAACGCAAAAGAGAGAATTGATAGCTTTACTATTCCAGCTACTGTTTTGGTAATCAATTGTGTTGCACTTATCAATTGGTTTGGAAAAAGTACTCTATCAACGGTAATCATCAGTTCGGTCCACCCATACATGACAGATTACCAAACTTTTTCATCAATAAATTTTA